CCCTCACACATATATATATCTCAACAATTATTTAATTATTTATTTTTTATTTAAATAGTTATCAAATATTATTGAAAGGATTGGCAAACATAGGGTTGGGTTTTATTGTTGGAAACTATTCATTATAAACAGATTCCGTGGATATGAGGTATAAAACAATTTATAAAGATTAATTAAAATTTATGTTAAACAAACATATCCAGGTCATAACTCTAATTGGTATACTATTTCTAAGACTGCTGGACAATTAATATTTTAAAATTATAATACTTTTATTTGTTCACTAAATTTTTATTAAAATTAACTGTGATGAATTGTATATAGAAAAGTTACAACTTTTTAAATGTATGTTAAATATTAAAGTTATTAAAGATTTAGTTATTACAATATAAATAAATGTAAATGGTATAAAATTGGTGAGCTATTTTATCATTAATACAAACGACCTATCAACATTAATTAGTACAATATCTAAAATACAAACTTAAATTGTGTTATGCATTATTTGACATTAATGATAATTAAAGAAATAATAATAATACAAAAATTTTATATAAACTATTATATCATTAATGCTTATTGTATAAGTACATTATTTAATGTTTAATACACATAATAAAATTTTAAAAATAATGTTATAGTTAATAATAATTGTTATTGAGTTAAAACAATTGACTATCGTTACATAATTTAATTTAATAAATAACGCTGTATTATTTGTAAATTATAAAATAATATATAATATATTATAATTAACAATAAATTAAATTACTATGATATTGATTATATTTTCCGTGTTTTCTATGTTAACTCTACTATTGACCACTCAAACAGAGATATTTCTGGTGATATCAACGGATCAGAGGTATTGTCACCACAAGAAGTCCGTCAAGACATCGGTGGTACTACTGAACAAAGACTTGAAAGACTTGAGAAATTAATGGAAATTTTGGTCTCAGAATCAGATGTGAAAAAAGTTGAGACAACTTTATATTTAGAAATGATAGACATTCACATGGAGTGGAGTTCTTATTGCAGTTAAAAACATATAAATGTAATGAAAAAGTTTTTTCTAAAACATTTGAAGAAATATTTGTTGAAATATATATTTAGAAATATATACTTATAGGAACTCTATATAAACCTCCGAATCAGACAATTAATTTTAGCGACTATTTTAATAATAATTTTGGTACTATTGATGTTCACTATTATGATATGATATGTTTTATGAGAGATCTATACATAAGTTTTGACTGTATATCAAATTCTTATAAATTATTAAATGAATCTCTTATTATGTATGGTTTTGAACAAATAGTTATGAGTCCCACATATCCAGTAATAAATCCAAAATCAATACTTGATTTGGTTTTTGTAAACAATAAGTCATTGGTATACGATTTAATAGTTACGTCAAACATAAGCAATAGTTGCAATCATTTGGCTATTAGTTATAAAATAAATATTGAAAAAGTAAATCAAAAATCACATATAGTATACAAATTGAATTTATTGCTTAATGAATGAATGTTACATTTTTAATTATATTATATATTCTTAATTAAATTAATCTATTTAATTATTGTAATTTTAACTAGTATAAATTTCAATATATATATTATTTATTAAATATAACTTTTACAAAATGATCTAGCACCTCCTAACATACGGCTGTCTATTAGTTGAATAAACAGTGATCTCTTTGACGACATCCCCTGTTTTGGGCGCCTCCACGAAAGTGGTGGCACTCGAGAGTATCCCCACGTGATAGGGAGGGCTACCGAAAAACACCAGATCGCCGGCCCGGCGGGCACTGTATGCCACTCGAGCGCACTTCGCATCGTTGTACTGATCGGAGGCTACCCGTGCGATGATCTTACCGGTGCCCTTATAGACGGCATACTGGGCCAGTCCGCTGCAGTCAAAGCCTATGGTGTGCGCGCCCTTACCGATGCCATACGACTTGCCCTTCCATGAGCCCCCACCCCATGAATAGGGAACTCCTTTCTGGGAACGGGCGGCCGATACTATTTCTGCGGCACCGGCATCACAGTCCTCTGTGTAGTCATTATAAGCATTTTCATTAGTATTACATTCAAATAGTTTACAGTTTTTATGGTATACTTACGAATCGTATAACAACTGAAAGCTATAATCAGCGAAAATGCCGTGAATTTCATGTTTAGCGTAATATTAGTTAAACAATAGGTTTATATTGTTTTAAAATTGTACAAGTATAAGTTATATTTGTGATTACAATATAAGTTTCACTCACATTATATACTATTTTGTGTCTGAGCATTTCATTATTTGTTTGTATTAGTATCCGTGTTAGTTTGATAACTTGTCTAGTATAAATAATAACATTGTTTACCAACTAAATGATTATTTGTTTATTCCTTATTTAATACAAATATTACAATTGGTTTACTATGAACCTACCCTGATACAAATTATTACTAATTTATGATTAATTAGTTATAAAGTTTTATATTTATTAATGAAAATGATAAAATAAATAATATCCCATTGTTAATTAAAAATTATCACATATTATCATACATAATTGATATATACAGTATGATAAGACATTTATTTACAAATGTTTTATCATGATTACATAATGTATTTGTTAGAATCATACTTTTGGTAGATTATTAACAAATATAATTTTTAAAATTAAATTTATGTTTCATATTATTGATATTTATAATATAAATATTTTGTAATTTTGAAAACTTAAATTTAATTTATGATAGTTATTTGTGTTAATTTCAAATGAATGGTACAGTAATAAAAATAAAAATAATATAATTTTATAAACATTTATGACTTTTACAATCATTTTATAACATTTGGACAACACAACAAAAATTATACAATAATAGTTCACATTAAAGTTTAATTAAACCTTGGTCAACTTAAATTTGATTAGTTAGACTTGTTTACAAATTATATTTAATCACCATGATAATGCATTTCTATTTTAATCTAATCAAACGGATTAAATGACATAAATTTCGAAATGAATGATCAATTATATTATTGACAATTATCTTGATTAAAATTTAAACCTAATCCATTTGATTAGATTAAATGTGGAAATGCGTTATCATGGTTAGCACGTGTATATCATTTAATTTGTAAACAAGGTCTCTTTTCAATTTAATTGTGCAACTTTCATCACAAATCACCAATGTTGATTACAATACACATATGAAAACCTTATACATTGTGTTGTCGTAATAATAGAGTAGATTAGTTGAATCCTAACATATATAAAGC